AGTAAGTTCAAGTCAAACCTAGGCTATAGGAAAGCATGTCTCAAAAAATAAATAAATAAAAAGTAAAAGAAGGAGGTGGGAATTATATCATTAGTAGGTAGATGGGTGGAACTGGAGATCATCACATTAAGCGGCCTGCTGTGGAGCTCTTGGAACCATTAGTTATGAACCCCCTCCACACATTCTAGCTAGATATTACACACACACACACACACACACACACACACATACACACACACACAGAGGACATGAACGCAAAAGAGAAGCTATGAGCAGGTAGGAAGAGGTTTAAAGAAAAAGGAAAGCAGGAAACAAGGGTACTATGTGGGGGGACAAAATCTTACACACTTTCTCTTATGTGGAATCTAGATTTAAATTTGTATGTCTATATATGACATGAAAGCTAAAGGGGGACTATGTGGGAGCAAAGACTAGTGAGATGGAGTAGGAGGGACAGGGAACGGAATGGGGAAGAATATGAGCCAGGCACAATGTACTGTGCATCAAAATGTCATGAGACCCATTATTTTGTATGCTAAGAAATTATTGAATAAATAATTTTGAAAAAGAAATTCTGTGTTTTACTTACTTTGTGATATTTTATACTGATTATAAACCTTTTTAGAAATAAGTTTTTTTAATGTTCTTACAGGAGGCTTAAAGAAAAACATAGATGACATGTTTTTAAAAAATTTTGTACTGACATCATAAAAGGTAACTTGACATTTTAAAATAAAAATCCCAGGGATGGAGAGGTGGCTCAGTGGTTAAGAAGACTGAATGTTCTTGCAGAAGACCCGGGTTCAAATCCCAGCACCCACATGGCAGTTAACTGTCTGTAACTCCAGTTCCAGGGGATCCAACAGCCTCTTCTGTCTTCCACGGGCATTGCACGACATGGGTGCACTTACCTACATGCAGGCATAACACTCATACACATAAAATAAAAATAATAAATAAAATAAAGATAAATAAATAACACAATAAATATCCCAATACCTAAAATACGTTCTATCAAAAAGTGAAAAAAAGCAAACAGCTAACACATTCCAATGACTTTTTCCCTACATGGTATTTATGTAGTATAAAGTGTGCCTGGTGAGAAACATGTTAAGACAGGCTAATTGTAGTATATTATGTAGTATAAAGAGTGCCTGGTGGGAATTACGTTAAGACAGGCTAATTGAAACCTATGGCTCTGCTGTTCAACTGTTTCTAATCCTTGACTAATTTTTAGTGTGAGTGGAATCTTCTTCCAGTTGCTTTTGACAGGACAGAAATTTTCTAGTATTTCCTCTTGTTGGGGTGTAAAAACAGTAAAATTCCTTAAGTGACAGACTTAAATTAATTAAACCCCAAACTCAATCAAATGCTGCTGGGTGACTGGACTGATAATTGTAGATTATAACATCATAACATTGCCAACTGTCTTTTCTTGAAGCAACTTTTTAAAACATTTTAACCTCTTTTAATTCTAAACAGACAACTGTGCTAACACATGGTAGGCATCCAAAAAATACTATTATGTGAAAGACTATATGTACCTTTGGTCAAAAAATTTCCAAATCCCTAATAAGGGAACCCAAGTCATGATCACATAACAATACAGCTCCGGCCCTGGGCTGCACAGACATCCACTTCCTAAAATCCCCACTTCCTGTCCCTCAGGGAGGACACCAATGAACATAAAAGAAGAAACCCATCAGGACTTCTGACTTTCTCTGGGAAGTTATTAGTGAAAGGAACTCTGAGCATTTCCCCTAGAGCACAGATAACAAAGATAAAAATATCTAGTCTATAAAATAATATTTACCCTCTTTTGAAATCTGAAATAAGCCAGTTCTTCCATTTTTTGACTGCTCATCTTTGTTTTGTTGTGATAAGTGATCTTCTGGCAACTTGGAGATATTAAATGGATTCTTCCTTTGCTGGGGAAAAATACTGTTTATTAAACTTGTTTTAAATGTCATAACAGCAGCTCAGCATTAGCAAACACTTAGTACCTCACATATTTGATAGTTTTAACCAGTCCATTCTACTATGTGGTATATTTGGGGATAGGGGAAACCATTTAACTAGGTTAGCTTAAAATTAATATACATCACACCATAGATACAATTGTAATAAAGTATATTCATTGCCAAAGTCTTTCAAAGTTAAACCAGAAGCAGGCATTTAAATCAAAATCCCCCATTTTACTGGTAAGAAAACGTGGCACTGAATTATAGAATATATACCTGATCAAGGTCAAGGCAAGCCTGGCTCTCTAATGAGGTCAGAGTCTCAAGGTCAAGGCAAGCCTGGCTCTCTAATGAGGTCAGAGTCTCAAGGTCAAGGCAAGCCTGGCTCTCTAATGAGGTCAGAGTCTCAAGGTCAAGGCAAGCCTGGCTCTCTAATGAGGTCAGAGTCCCCTAGGGTTTTTTCCTACCACACTAGTCATTGTACTAGACTACAGCTCTTCAAACTTTAGTTGTCATTGCCCTTTCCTATGGATCTAGAAGACACTTCATTTTTCTTGAAGTGCTTCATGGTCGTTGTTATGATCAACTCTACTGACAGCAAGGGTATTCAGTATACGCAGTTTTTCTGGATTGGCCCTTCTTATACCGCCTGTGTCCAGACTGGCTTTGGATTCACAATACTCTTGACTCTGATTTTTTCTATTACTACAAGACTGAATATGAATGCTTACTGCTGGTGGTTTCATAACTTGGCAATTCCCTCCCAGAAGCAGATCTCTAATAGAGATTCAGGAAGCCATGAGTAAAAATAAGGCCTGAAGGGGCTGGAGAGATGGCTCAGCGGTTAAGAACACTGTTCTTGCAGAAGACCCGAGTTCAAATCCCAGCACCCACATGGTGGCTAATAACCATCCATAACTCCATTTCTAAGGGATCCGACAGCCTCTTCTGTCCTCCGCAGGCATTGCATGACACAGATGCACTTACCTACATGCAGACATAACACTCATACACATAAAATAAAAATAATAAATAAAATATTTTAAAAAGGAAGGCCTGAAGTGAAACTGTTAAGCTACATCCCATTTTCCTAACAGCAGCAACACCAAATAGCTTCAGACTTTTTATTCTTAAGAACAGAAATCTTGGTCTTCAGCAATAGGAACATAGTATTCGTCAACTTTATCCACCACAGGAATGACTTGTTAAACTACATAGCAAAAACTATCTATGTACAGTTGTTATCTACACAGCAAAGTACCTATACATAGCAAAATTACCTATATGGTATCTACAAATCTATATTATTATATAAAATACATTTTTTGATTTGATATGATAAGAAAAATTATATTCCTGCCAATAATGAAAATCTCTACATCTGGGCTCAGTTTACCTTCGGTGGAGACACAGTTGATTTCCTTGTATTTTCCTGGGAGGTATCAATCACCGTGGGGGCTGGATTCACCACACTGGAACTGCAAAAGAAGCAATAATTCAGAGAATAAAATCTCACCCTTTAGGAAGCATGTCATGGCTCCACAGCCAAAAGCTTTTAAGGCAGGATAGGAAAGGAAGTTTATAAAATCAAACTGGAGAAGGAGCTGCAGTCCAGTCATGGTTAAGCAGCAGAACAAAGGCAAGGGTGGAACGAAGGTGAAAGGCCAGCATGAGGAAAAACAAAGGCATCTGTCAGAGCCTGAAGCTGGTTCAGGGTACCAGGCACACAAGAGGTTCATAATTTTAACTTGGAGAAATGAACTCATCTCCATCAAATCTAATATCAGATACAGGGTACAAAACGAGCAATAGGTTTTCTGACTGAAATAAAGCCCTAAAGATATCCAAGGCTCAATTCCATCGCAGTGTTTCCTCTGACACATACAGGAAATATCTAAGGAAGAAAGACAAGTGACTTGGCAAAGGGACAGAAGAGAGCAATTCAGAGGTGCTGTAAACAAAAGCTGCTAGGTTTGAACAATTCCCTATGACCTTTTAAACAAACTGTCCAAGCTGGCCAGGTGAATTCTTATCTAAATGTAGAAAGACGTGGACCAGAAGGGCACTGAGAGGACAGTGGGTGGGTAGATGCCTGCAGCTGGTTTCAAGAAGTGAAGAGGGTCCTCTAGACTTATGCTTCCCTATCCCAGAGGCAGGGCAACTCTAGAGGAGGAGAGTAAAGCAAGAGCTCGCAGAGTTGAGCAGGCCACTCCCTTGACTATGAGTAAGAAAATCAAAGTGGGTCACAGAGTGCCAGGGGAAGAGGAAAATCAACTTGCTGAGGCGGCCAACTCTAGCAGCCTTACCTTAGACAGAAAGGATGAAGTCATTATTGGCTGAAACCACTGTTCCCTGTTAAACTCCACCGGTTCTATTAGTGGCATCAGAGTCAAGAGCTTGGAAGATACCTCTGAAGGTGCTGGCTTTCCCCACAGGGCAGAGGAGCCAAAAGCCTGGGGAAGGAAACAATTTGCCCCAGGGTCTTGGAGCTTTGCCCAAGATCATTGTCACTGAAGTCATGGGCTAGACATTCCTGCAGTTCCTTTCCTTTTCTTCTTCCTCTAATCCGTTTGCCATTTTTGCAGTTCAACCCAGGAAATGGCTGAGCTCTTAAGGAAGCCATTCTTCCTTTCACTACCTTCCTTATTATTCCAGAAATGAATTACAGTGAATGAGGAGTCATATACAGCCTGGCCACATGGAAGAAGGGGAAAGGGAGATATTGGAGATGGAAAATACAGGAAACACAAGAGAAGCTTATATTGGAGCCAGAATTTGGACAGGAAGGTACATTCTAGGAATCCTTTATTCTTGAATAGAGGATCACAAACTTGAATTAAGTTACAGAATAGAAAAAGTGACCTAGAAGCATGGTCACCAATGGAACTGTGTCCTCACAATGGAGAGTCAACAGATCAGAACTGGGATGCAGTTTCTCTCCAGTATCATTTTAAGAGGCCAGTGGGCAATATGAGGAATACCGTACTTATAGCACATGCCTGGCTCAGTGGAAATGATCTCCCTCAGTAAATAAAGCAGTCAAATAATCAGAGGACCTGAGCCAAATGCTGAGGTTGGGGTCTCCAAGGAACTGCCATGCTCTCCTGCCATCCTACCCCTTCTTACTCTACAGTCCCAAAGGATAAACACACCTCTACACTGTTCACCCTCTGCTCCCTGGAAATTCAGGTCCTGTACCCCCAGGCTCCAGCTTCAGTTGCCCACATTGCACATTATGTTGACTCTCCATTCTAGAGATGAAACCAGACTCTCCCTTACTGAACTCTTTCCTGGATTTTTCATGTCAAAGTGGTCTGCCTGCTTCCTGTCCCAGAAACTCACCCAACTCTTGGCTATTTCCATGCAACATACTTCCTACCTTCTGCCAAAACCAGCCCTATCATCTCTAAGCACAATCCAAATCTCACCTCCTGTACCATCCCCACCATGAATTTCCCTTGTATCATTATAGTACGTTTTATTGGCCCTTTAGATTAAGAATGTGCTCCCTGACTGGCACTGCTTGCTCTTGTATGACCAGATCTTTATATAGACACATTATCTTTCTGAAGATAATATAATGTATTTATGGCTGGGGACTGGATGTTTGTTCCTTAGAATTCCTCTCCTCCCAGAGAGTAATACACTCTGTCCTGAATGGTACTCAATATATTCCACATGATAAGATTTTTAAATTGGGAAGCAAGCCAAACTCCACATTCTGTGCTTTGTAACTTTCTTCTTTCAAACACTCTTCAAAAAGAACCTGTGATACCAGAAGTAGAACTTGGGCAAAATTCTTTATGAAGATTACTAAAAACTAGGTGTTAATACCATTTATAGAACCAGAAAGAGATTCTACAAGCCATTTTGAAACTTGCAAAAATGATTTTGATTTCCTTTTGGACTGCAAATTCCTTAGGGGCTAATGCAGCCCCCCCCCCAGCAGTCAGCCCTGCACTGGCATGTGCTGGCACTCAGTGATGTTTCAACAAATAAACATATGAAGAACTGGCTTGGAGTGAAAGATGCACACTAGGAAATATACCATGCCAAGCCCTTTAAGTCAGCATTATTTTGTGAGTCTGTCTGATGCTGCCATGGTCTAGGCTATAGATTCATTGAACAGAAATATTTCCATCCAAATATGAGGCATTTTGATGTCACTATAGGGCTAGAGCTACCACAACTGACTTGAGTAATCTAAGATATGATAAGATTAAATATTCTCTTGAGAGTTTAATGAAAGTGATTTTTGTGGGCCAGGAATACTAGAAATGGAATCTTCACATCATTGGATTTGCTATCAATCCTGGGGCAAAGGGGAGGATGTCAAATGCATTGTGCCCTTGAACAGCTCTTTCCTACTTCCTTTGACAGCAAGCTCATATGCCACACTGTCATTACTGGGGGTAAAAGCCGGTAGATAATTCTTCTGGTAGAGAGAGAAAGAGATACAAACAAAAGCCTTCTAAGAAAGAGATCATTAGTAGAAAAAGACAATACTATTTCAGAGCTAAAGATGTAGTTGGAATTTATTGATTCCCATTCCACAGAGGGGAAGAGGGAGATTGGTGGCCAAGTGAGTGTCCTGGGCAATGAAGCTCAAACTGTCACTTTGACTCACTACACTGATAAACAAGAGTGTTTAATCCTTCCAAAACCAAAGTTAGATGGGGATGCACAGCTTTGTTGGCAAGTTAGCCTCATTTCCCCACCATTCCAGAAGAAAATTTGCCAACATCATGGATTGAAAGACTACAGCAAAGGTTTAGCCTAGTTCCCCAACTCCTTTTGGAAACCTTCTCCAGAAATGCTTTGAAGTAATGGATAGTGCACATCACAGCATCACCTGACCTCCCTCCTGATGCCATGCCGTCTCTTTCTCCATCTTCAGTACTCCAAGCTCACTGTTGTGCACATTGGAGAGGGCACTCAAATTCTCCTCCATCTTTCTCTGAACACGGGAGATCATAAATATACTTCTTAAGAGATTCTTAAAAGCAAAGCAATGGAATCTGGAGGCTGTTGATCCTGTTGTTACATGGGTCTTTTTTTTCCTTCTTCCTCTTCCTCCCCTTCCCCCTCCTCCTCCTCTTCCTCCTGTTTCTCCTCCTCCTCCTCCTTCTCCTTCTTCCTTTTCTTTTTCTACTTTCTCCCTAGAGTTAAACCACCTTATTCAATCATTCACTAGTTTGCTTTTTCATCAATCTCCTCCCTCATCATTTAATAACTCATGATCTTATCAACTATTTTCTTTCATTAATTCATTCATTTCCTTCCTTCATTCATTCTGGAGAATATTTGTTGGATACTACCTTAGTGCTAAGAATAAGCCAACAAACTAAGAGTTCTTTTCTTAGTGACTCTGGGTTGGGGGAGAGGACAATAAAGACACATAAATATCACAGTGAGAACCTTTTCTCAAGTAACCCATATACTCTGTATCAATTATTGGGTAGTCTGGTGTTCCTTACAAACACCACAGCATCTTTATAACCTGATCTATGGCTCTGTCATACGTTACCTCCTTTCTCCATTCTTTCATTAGGTTTTCACTGTATCACATCTAAACTGCCACAGCATCCTGATTGAACTATCTGGCCCCATCCTGCACACAGTTCCCACAAGGATTTCTCTAAGAAGTCAATTTAACTGAAAAAAAAAAAAAATCATTTGGTAGCTTCTTGTGGCTTAACAAAAAAAGCATGACTTCTTGGCCAACATTCAAGGCTCTTCCAGCTTCTTTCTACACACTTACCCACCACACACAGCAGACCTGCCACACCAGACCATATCTACTCTCCAGCATGCCAAGGCCCACCAGGCCCTCTATCTGTTCCGCCCTCACATCTAATATAGGCCTTCTCATCCTTCAAGAATCACCTTAAATAAGGTGGCCTCCAGAAGGTCCCCACAATCCCTCCTCCCCACACTGGACACAATCAATGATTCTATCTACACTGTTACAGCCTTTCCAGTGCGGTTAACTGACTGGACCTGGTAGCACAGGGCTGAAATTCAAGCTACCTAGGAGACTAAGGCCAGAGAATCACCTGTTCAAGGCCTACTTGAGCTATAAGAGTGAGTTTGAGATCAGCCTAGGCAACTTAGCAAGACTGTCTCAGTTTTTTTTTAAGAGCTGAGGCAATATTAGGATAGTGATAGAAGGCTTGCCTAGTATGCATGAGGCCCTGGGATCAATACCTAGCTCTGACTATGACTGAATTCATGAATGTCGAAAAGAATACCATTATCATACCAAATACAATTTATAGTTATACATGTCCACACCTTCTGCAAATAGTGTATTTCTAAAAATCAGAGGCCAAACCTTATTCATGTTTGAATTCCTTGCTACCACCCTGCATACGATAAATACTTACCCATGCTGACCGACTGAATAAACAACTAAGTGAAGAATGTAGTAGTATCCCTAAAGAATGATTTAGTCTACTAGATGCTAGCAAGACGTTACACAAGTGCTTTCAATCACTCACAAAGATGGACATTTAAGCACTTTATTTCCAACACATAGCCTAAAAGCAAATGGAAGCAACCATGGTTCTGTCTTCACCACTCAGACCCTCTTATATCTCCTTGTCTTGGTTTTCTCTTCCTGTCACTCTTATATTGACTAATTCTGGCCTGCCTACCTCTTTTACATACGGCTCAGGTTTATCAAAGTACCTCTCTGGCTACTTCTGCTATCATGAAAGCAGTCACTGACTTTGATTGATGATATCTGTTACTAAGTCTGCTTTCTTGCTGTGACATTAGGGCACTGAGCTGACCACTATCCATAATGCCTCTCTTATAAACTTGTCTTGTTTGGCTGAAGACTCTTTTATGAGGATGTTTAAGACAAGGTCATTCTTAAATCTTTTAGAAACGATCACACCTATGAATTTTTCCTTTAAAAATATTTTATTATTTTTATTTTATGTGTATGAGTGTATTGCCTGCACATATGTAAGTGCGCCCATGTTGTGCAATGCCCACAGAGGTCAGAAGAGGGCATTGGATCCCCTGGAACTGGAGTTAGGATGGTTGTTAGCTGCCATGTGTGTGCTGGGAACTGAACTGGGTCCTCTGCAAGAGCAACCAGTGTTCTTAACCACTGTGCCATCTCTCTAGCCCCTGAATTTTTCTAATAAAGCCTACACAGTATGAAGGCAGGGACCTCTCAGCTATCTGGCGCCTGCCTGGCTGGACTTCATATGCACTAAACACCAGCTGAGGACCACCTGGGATACATACTAGGATAACATAAATATATTTGGATTTATGTTCCAGTAAGGCGACCATTAAGAAAAGGAAAGGAGATTGAAGCATATAGGCTTAAGCCATTTTAAAAAGTCAGGTACTCTTTAGAGTAGAATTCATGCTACATCCTTTCAAGGAGAAAGGATGTCACTTCCAGGATGACACCTGAGGAGTGTGGAACAGGGAAGAAGAGTTCAGGACAAAGGGCTAGAAGGGAGAAAGAATTAGAAGTGTGGAATACACTTGAGTAACTATCTTTTTTTTCAGTAGTCCTGAGTAGCCATGTGCCCCTGGAGCCAAAATAGTATAAAGTATCAGAGGGCTACATCTCCAGACCTCCAGAGAGGTGGCATTAAAGGAACAGAACTGAGAGAGACAAATGAAAAGGTCACTCCATTTCCAGACTTCTTCAATTCAAAGAAGTGCCAGCAGCAGACACATCGAAGGCCCTGGTCATCGGAGAGCCTACTAGACTCTCAGTGGAACCCAGAGTATTACGTCACCTCAGGTAACAGAGAAGCGTTTCTCATGCCAGACAGAACATGTCACCCTTCATTTAGGCAGGGTTCTGACCCACATAGCAAGGAGCTTCTCACATCTGTATTCTGTACTCCTTACTTTCACTAAGCCATGTCCTGTGGCTTGTTGCATGCATGTTCAATGATGATTTTAGGAGGGGATACGAATTGCTATCAACCTGAGGTTCATGGGCAGTGCCAGTCTGGGAGCTGTTAATCACTGATTCATAATGATGTAAGTACAAGGACTGGGAGCATGCACTGAGAACCATTTATAGCAATTCACTGAAACACTCAGTGTATGATGAGTGGTTCACTGTACATCATTGTTTCTTTCTAGATTTCTATTTAGCAGAAGGAATCAGCCTGCGACATCTAGGGAAAAAGTTTAGAAACAAAAAGCAGGTCTTCCACCACAGTTTTATGAAGTATTGATTTAGCTGGCACCATCCTGGAAAGATAGTAACCAGGACGAGAACTGGGTGCCCAGGGAGCTACCTCTGCTGCTCTCAAGGGAACAGTGTTTATAAACCTCTCTGTGCTTCCTAGTGCTACAGATCAAGGAAAGGTGAGTTACAAAGAATGCAGGCGATTGCCTGTGTTTGGCTACTTGCTGCACACCCACAGCATTTTAATTCCTGGGTAGGACCCCACCATGAAGGATCTTGCCACCAAGCCTATTTAAGAAACTTTAGAAACTGCACTATCCAGCCACTGTGGCCTCACAGTCCCCAACTGCTGATTCCTGGCTAAGAAAATATTGACAGGTATTGAGTCATTCTATTGAAATTCACTTAGTCTAAAAGTACAGGCCCCAAAACACACTTAACACACCCAGTTCACAAAGGTTAAAGTGTAAGTGAGAAGCATTGCAGGAATTTGATATCAAGTAAAATGGTAGCCTCTGACACTGAAAGGAGGAAGTCAAAACAGCTTCTTGTAAGTTCCCACTGATTACCTCCCATACCACGTATCACAGACTTGGCCTTTAATGAGCAAAGCATGCTGATACACCTAGCATCTGTATGCTGGTCTTCTCACCATACTTTATCCCTATAGTAGCCACATCATTTAATGCCACCTGGAAATGGCCAGTGTTCCTTCCTCCTGAGAAAGGCTATGCAGCTCCCATACCTTATTTCAGATAATCTCATAATCTCTGTGAGGCAACTGTGTTCTGATAAGACACAAAGGACTTGTCTGAGGCCATACAAGGAATGCAGATACAAATCACAGAAGTTACATTACAAGCCTGTACGTGAGGAAGACTGAGGAATGTCCATCAGCCCGAGGGGACATGAGGAAACTGAGTTGGGACCTCTACCTCTCAAGCCATTTGATATGGAATGAGAGCCTGGAGGGAGGATGGAAAGTCTGGACTGGACCAAACTGTGCAATGGGCTGTTCATGTCTGATGCGCACATTATCTCTTCCTCTTCTGTGTTGCTGTTTGTTCCCTCAGCTGGTCAGGGCTCTGTGTTCCTCAGCCCCTACCAGGCCCACATTATAGACATTCTCAGACCCTTGGTGGTAAATCTAAATAGCTGTGTCCTTTCTCCTAGTGTTTCTAATATCTTAAGTCTCATCTTTCTTTATGAAAGCAAGGCCTTCATCTATCAGGAACAAAGTAAAGGGGACGGGGACAGAGCTAATAAAGGGTGGAGTGTCCTCACACCCTTTCTTGGGCTTCCTGAAATACGATATTCAAGAACCCATCTCTCCATTAATTGGTCCCAACTAAATGCTATGGACTGTGTTAAGAATTCTACATCCACTAGCTACTTAAATTCCCAATAATCCTATTAGCAGATTATTATCAGTTTCATTATATAGTTGTAGAAATAAAGGCCCAAGAAGTTAAATTGGCACCTTTTCAAGGTCACAGTGTCAACCAGCAGCTATGGGGGTGCTGTACCTTTTAGCCAACATGACAGATAAACACTGATCAAGCAGAACATTACAAACAGTCTTGAGAGGAAAGAGTGGAGCCCACTCATCATGGGAAATGGGTAACTAGCAGGCACCTTAATAGAGTCAGTATTCTATTACCCATGTGGCATTACTTTACTCATAGCTGATATTGAAATACCTATACCATACACATGCACACCCTTGTCTGTAAACTGTTGGAAAAATTTCTGTTGACCAGGTGCCTCAGCCTTGGACCCTGCCTCAGTGTGTCCCATTGACCTTATCCCAGTTGGAGGTCCTGAAGTAAGCTGTCTTCACTGAGGAGCTGGAGGTGCAATGCAGTTGTTCCTCACACAAAAGGGTAATAACTATACCTTCAAGTGATAGACACCAATGGGAAGAGGCTCAGATACCTAAAAGCAAATGTTAATTAGAGCAACATAGCTCCACAGTTAGTCACTTCTTAGAAAGGATGGACAAATGAGCATTTTAATTAGATGAAAGTATGCATGGCAAATACTGAAAATCCAAAATATAGAGCATTCACTGTGTTTCTTTAAATATTTTATTTATTATTTTTATTTTATGTGTATGAGTGTATTGCCTGCATGCACATAAGTGCACCAATGTCGTGCAATGCCTGCAGAGGTCAGAAGAGGGCTCTGGATCCCCTGGAACTGGAGTTACTGATGGTTAGCTGCCATGTGGATGCTGGGAATCGAACCTGGGTCCTCTCTTAGAGCAGCCAGTGCTCTTAACCACTGAGCCATCTCTCCAGCCCCCTGCTCCTTGCTGCATTTTTAAGAGGCATTTATCATCTACTATGTGTCATATATATCTATCTTGCATATACATCATTCTCACCAGTCTTTACTCTTCCTATCTGTAGTTAGGATAAAGGTCTTAGAGTGGTTAAATGACTTGCCTACAGCCTCTGGCTAATAAGTGACAGACTCAGGATTTGAATTCAAGTCTGCCTGGCTCCTGTTTTTGAACTTCTTTCATTGCACCAGAAGTTATGGTACGATCATAATTCATATCCCATGAAGGAAACTGGAGTGTTTATTTTGGAGTACTTTTTACCTGACTCTGAGGAGAAATCCTCAGTACAAATCAAAGTCATCATTGCTGGTACTAGAAGAAATCGCCACTTAACATTTTGACTTCAAGATTTAGATTTGTTAGCAGTTCTAAAAGCTGGGAAAGAGTCTTGTCCAGTCTTTCTTCTATTAGAGGCCAGAATTCTTCCAAACACTACCTCCATCCTCACACCCATGACACCAGTCCACATTTGTACTCCAAACCCACATTATGCCCATATAGCACACCAGGCCATGAAACCCATAAGCAGTAAGTTCTGTCTTACCTTTGGCCTGCTGGTGCTGTGTCATCCTTTGGATCTTCCACAACAGCTGGCTCTGGGGGAAGGAAAGCATCCTGGTTGACATTATCCACCCAGCTTTCCTTTGCCCTCACTGCTTTGTCCTTACCCTGCTCAGCTGAAACAGAAAACAATAAAAAGAGGAAAGTTATCTCTCACTTCCACAATCTACACCCCTCTCATTGGCTCCTGTCACATGTTTGCCAACAAAGGGGCAAACATGATGCTTGATTCTGGAATACAAAGGCTAACAAGTGATCCTAATTTAGAATGTCTTTTTCCAGGGACTGGACAGATGGCTCAGTGGTTAAGAGCACTGACTGCTCTTGCAAAGGACCCAGGTTCAGTTCCCAGCACCCACATGGCAACTAACAACCATCTGTAACTCCAGTTCCTGAGGATCTGATGCCCTCTTCTGACCTCTGTGGGCACTGCATGACATGGGTGCATGTAACATACATGCAAGGCAATACACTCATACACATAAAAAATAAAAATAATAAATAAAATATATTAAAAGAATGCCTTCTTACAGTGCCTCTCCTCTCCCCTCCCAGTGTCTCTACACATCCAAATTATGAATACTCAGGTGTCAGCACCCCTTAAAATCTCTGTGCTTCCTCTTCAGGAATCTCTTTGGCCTCTCAATACCCAGCACTCTCTTCACCTGAACCCCTGTTATAATTACCATCAACTGAATGATGGATAGTGACCAAGCACTATGCAAAGTTCTATGCAGGTATTATCCTATGAGATGGGAGCTGTTTTCCAAGATTATAAACTTGAAATTTGAAGATCAAAAAGTTCAAGAAAATTGCCTAAGGTCACACAACCAGTAAGTGCCAAGAATACTTTCATCAAGTTAAGATGAGGCAATACTTGGCCTTCCAATTTCTAAATAAATTCCAAGGTGAAATCTATCCTTTACAGGTCCTGTCATACATCTAACTTCTCTAATGGAAAATGGAGTTCACAGTATTAACCAGTACCATTCTGGATGTCTTTCTTTCTTTAATGATTAAAAAAAAATTTATTTATGTGTCTCTGTGTGTCTGTATGTGGGGATGTGCACATGAGTGCAGGTTCCCAAAGAGGCCAGAAGAGGGCATTGAATCCCCTGGAGCTGGAGTTACAGCTGGTTGTGAGCCACCATGTGGGTGCTAGGGACACTTTGAATTTCTTTTTCCTTTTCTCTTTCTTTCTTTCTTTCTTTGTTTTTTCTTTTTTTCTTTTTTCCTTTTTTCTTTTTATCTTTTTGAGACAGGGTCTCCTTGTAGCTCCAGCTGGCCTGGAACTTGCTATGTAGACCAGAATGGCCTTGATTCACAGAGATATACCTGCCTCTGTGAACCACCACACCAGGCTTAATCTGAATTTCTTAAGGACTGGGTGGTTTTGAAAAACAAGAGAGCTGCAGGTAATGTGTTTTACATACTTAGCAGTCAATCTTTATCTGCAGTAAGTGTGACACAAAGTCCATTTAACAATATGACCTTGAGCAAATTATCCCCAACTTTCCCAAGAAAGTTTTTGGGCAAAGTCTACTCACCTTATAAGACTGCTGCTACAGTTAAAAGTAGATAATTAGTGTCTATCATATATCAAATGCCTAAAAGATAGTATTTTTATCTATAAGCTAGACCTATACAGAGGTTTACAATGACTAATCTTGAGTTAGAAGGTACCTACTAGTATGTAGCATAATCAAAGAAATTCTAAATAAGCTCTTACAGTCTTATAAGTAATGTACATGGCTGATTACAGAAGTGCCAGGGGTCAACATCATTGAATAGGGGCTGGAGAGATGGCTCAGCAGTTAAGAGCGGACCCAGGTTCAGTTCCCAGCACCCACATGGCAGCTAACAAGCATCAATAACTCTAGTTCCAGGGGATCTGATGCCCTCTCCTGACCTCCATAGGCATTGCACAACACAAGTGCACTTAAACACATGCAAGCAATATACCCATACACATAAAATAAAAATAATAAATAAAAATATTTTTAAAATCATTGAATAGGAAAGCTGATTTCTGTCTAAATCATGTTATTCAGAAGGTTTTGGATTTCAAGATTTAAAATCCAAAGAAGGGGCTGGGGAAGTAGCTCAGTTGGTAAAGTACATGTACGCAGGCATGAGGAACTGAGCTTGATTTCCAACACCTATGTAAAAAGTATCTGAGGAGTGACACCTAGGGTTAACTTCTGGCCTCCACATACTACACTTGAATGCATCTGCCTGTGTATCCATACATTCCTACATGCATGTCCCCACCCCATCTCTCAAAATAAAAAAAAAAAAAGAGATGGTAGATTCCTTATAATCCCTAAGCACCTAGGCTACTACAATGAAACATGGTGCCTAAAAGGCTTCCTGTCTTCCCCTATAGCTAATCACTTGACTATCCTTATTTATCCACATCCAGGGCAACAGGATTTTTGAGTGAGAGGAACACACACTATGAAACACACCTCCAAATGACTTCCTTCTGCAGAATTTAGTGATGAGACTTACACCCTTCCACACCCTCCTTCACAAAAAAATCTTTAAATCTTGGTTATAAACACTCAACCCAAATCACCTCACCTGCCAACTGAGCCCTCTTCTTTCTCATGGATGCTCTGATGATATCAGCACCATGGATTTTGTCTCTGTGCCTTTTGGCTTTGGCTTCATAAAACCATTGGCCACTCATATTCTTTAGTTGCTGGTCATCTTTAATTTTTTCAGGCAAATGTCTGCAAAAGGAAAAGAGTTTTACTTCACTGAAAACCCACAGTAAATAAATGACTTCACTGTGATACTGCATGAAGAAATTTGTAAACATATAGGCAAAAAGAAGCCCTCAATCATATATGTGCCACATGCACCCAGATGATGGACAACCGTTCTGCTTTGACTGAAAAAAAATTAGAGCTGCCAGGCATGCTTTTTTTTAAGGTCTTTTTTTAAAAAAATATTATTTTTATTTTATGTGTATGAGTGTATTGCCTGCATGTATGTGAGTGCACCCATGTAGTGCAATGCCGCGGAGGTCAGAAGAGGGCGTCAGATTCCCCTGGAATTGGAGTTAAGGACAATTCGTAGCTGCCATGTAGGTGCTGGGAATTGAACCCGGGTCCTCTGCAAGAGCAGTCAGTGCTCTTAACTGCTGAGCCATCTCTCCAGTCTGCAAATTTTTTTTTAATTAAAAAGTTTAGGGGCTGGAGAGATGGCTCAGTGGTTAAGAACACTGGTTGTTCTTCCAGAAGACTGGGGTTCGAATCCCAGCACCCACATGACAGTGAATAACTGTCTGTAACTCCAGTTCCAGGGGATCCAACAGCCTCTTCTGTCATCCGTGGGCATTGTACGACACGGGTGCACTTAACCTATATGCAGGCAATACAAACATACACATAAAATAAAATATTTTTTAAAAGGTTTAATCCACAGTCCTCAGAGAATGTCTGAAACTTCTCAAGAGCAGATTTGCTTTTTAGTTATAGACTTCTGTCTTTCATTAAATGTGCATTCTCAGAGAGGAATGGCATAGAAAGTTTCCTTAATCACTGATTTCCTCATCTGTGAAAAAGTGTTAATGACAGTACCATATATCACAGGGTTTCTCTGATAATTAAATAAGTTAAGACATGTCAACAACCCTCTGTGCCTACCTAGGCCCTAATAAACATTCACTAAGTAATGGATGGGTGGTGATCAGCTCATAAATCCTTCCCATTTTAGTGAAATGAGTTTGTTAGACTTTCCTTTGTGGGGGGGCATGATGTCCTATGTGCTAAGGCAGCCAGAATCAGGAAAGAAGGAAAGACCAAATTTGAGAATGGAGGTACAGGCAAGTTTAATCTGTTCAGAGATGCTTTTAAAGGTTTTGTAATCATTTGTGCTTACCGAATAACTAAAACCTAAAGAGTAGACCAAATGCTGAACTCCTCAAACATCTTTAGTTTATACTGGTAGAAAAAACATTGTTCTAACTGATGAGTCTTCTTTTAAAATAATTTGAGATTTTCATATATGAGTATTGTATTTACATCATTTCCATCCCTCTCTGTTACCCTCCAACTCCTCCCATGTCCCCCAGCTTCACCTCAATTTCTTGTCTTCTTCTTGAATTGTTACATAAACATGTATCTATATGTATACAATGCACTGAGTCCATTTAGTGTTGTTTGTGTGTGCATGTGTTTAGGGCTGACCACTTGTGATTAGATAATCTACCAAGGAGTGAGTTCCCAAGTCTTTGCACCTCTGTATCACTCTATTCAATAAAATAAAACTCACAGGCTAGCTTTTCCTACTGATAGAGATATATTTGGAATGAAATCCAATAAAAGTCTTACGGAAACTGAACTCTTGAAAAATAGTGTGTTGCGCAAATTCAAGAGGGCTTTCTGATAATCATTCAAGCTAAGATGCCCCCTTCCTATGTGGCAAGTCTGTTTTAGCTAGAGAATGTGAATGGAGTAGGACAATGGCCAGACTGGGTGTGAAGGCTACGCACGGGCATTCCTGGGAGGGAGAGAAGGGCTGGAGAGGTCATCACCCAGATATAGCAAGGATAGCTCCTCTTTCCTAAGCATGTCTGGGGGAACACTGTTACTTACCCAACATAAATTCCCTGTTGGAATTTCTTCTCCTCTCTCAATTACCTAAGAAAAACTGACTTCAAATATTCTCTCTATTCTACTCCAAATATTCTTGGTCACAATCCTTAGCCACACATTCTCATGACAGCCTATCTGTAAATCCTGACAAGGATTGCATCATTAGCTCATAGCCTTGAATCACCAAAGAGATCATGGTTCTTATTAAACATTTTTGATGGTTGCTTATTGCCTAAGGCTTTCAGCTGAATACACTATCCCTATTGGACTGCTGGTTGTAGCTCTTGGCTTTTCTTCTCCCAACAGTACCAAGTTTGTATTCAGTGTCACAATACAAAAGTCCTTCTACCTTTCCGTGGTCAGAATGAGCTCTTGGGAGCAGGACCTTCAATATATCTTTGCCTGGTGCTATGAAAATGCACTTGCAGAGTGAAGAAATGCTATAGGAGGTCCTTGACCACTTGGCTTCAGACTGTCTTTGTGGATTCATTTCCCAGCAGGTACACCCATATCCCACTTGCCAGAATACTTACTGTCCTCCAAACCTCTCTTTTGTGACATGTAGGTATTAAAGGCAAGAAGGTAAGGCAGAAAGATTATGGGCTTTGAAGGATCTCCTAGATAGGTCTAAACCCCAGTTTTTATCCTACCTAGATGTGACAATGTGCAGGTTACTGAAGCATTCTATAATTCATCCTCCTTGCTTATAAAAATAAGGGAACCAAGACCTACCATACAAGACTTCTGGATTAATCAATTTAAGTTTGCCCGCAAGTATTTAACAGTGCCTAGATCTTAGACAAAGGCCAGTGACCTCTGGATGTCTTCCCCTGGCTTCTCCGTCCTGCACATTTCCTCCTGCTACTGCAGTCCCAGCCCGAACACCACAAAGACACGTTGCCCTCCTCCTTGCTCCTACAGGGCCTCCCTGTAGCACTTACACTGTATCCCAATGATGTTTGCACATCTGTTTTACCCAGTCATCTGTGGACTCTGCAAACTCCTTGAAGACAAGGATTACATCTTTATCACTTTTTGTAATCCTAGCACAAAGCTCAGAGACTGGCACAGGGTTGATACTCAGTAATTGTTTGTTGAGTGAATAAGTCAATGAGCAAATAAGTACTCAGCAGCCACCCCAGCCTGAGTCAGGCAAGAGATCATGAAGATCCGGTCACTGGGGAGCTTCAACCAGGCCCACCACAATGGCAGGGTTTTCTGATGGGGTAGGGGGGCCTCATCTCTCATCAGAACAGGAAAAAATACATCATGACATATTACCTATCAGCATACCACAAACCCTCACAGCAGGACAACTCCTAGTTTCTCTTCATGAGATTGTTTTTGTTAACCCAAAAGTATTTCACAGTAGATCCTTTGGAGATCTTTGAGCAACTCTTGATCTTTTCTCATCTGAATAGCTACCCACAAGCCTCTAGTGAGTGCACAAATGGCACAGGCTATGTGAGTCACACCCACAGAAACACATGGCCCCAGAAGAGGCTGGTAACCACTGTGGTTAGGAAAGGGTTTCTGACTCTTTTGTTTTAAAGTAGCAAAAGAATGAGAATTCTTTCAAATTTAGTGAGGGCCACTTATGTATTTCATAACATGATTATCACTGCCAGGTTTAGGAACCCCCTTTTTTTTCTATCTTAGTCACTCATACTATCTGTAAATGAGTCCATATGTGGGACATCAAAGACCAAGTATGTAAAGATGTCAGTGATTTAAATAATCCCACTGTGGTGCTGCTGAAAAATCTCTTCTACTGGCTATGTTGAGTTCTCAGTCTTCTGAACTGCAATTGCACCAACAGTATTAGCATTGGATTTTCTAACTGTGCCATCCAGCTGAAGGAGGGAAAGGGTAAATTTCTTGGGACAGAAGCTGCTTGTACTTTACCACTTCCTCCATCACGCACATTACGTTTAGCTTAGCACAAAGAAGATGCTTAGTAAACACTGGAGGGCAGATGCAATGGCCGAACAACACTCAGTCCAGAAAGGACACTGTCCTGTCAGCCTTTCAGACCAAACGTGCTAGTTATTTTCCTACCTACTCCACCATTTCTTCCATTCACTGAACCTGCACAGTATCTGCTCTGTATTGACCACACACTTATCACCATCACACAATCATTCAATCCTTGTGACTTCACTACAAAGAATTTAGTCAACAGCAACAGATGACCATTGTGCCTGGTCTGCATGACAAATGCCATATGTGAACTTTGTCTGGTTATTTGTTCATTTAGTCATTCACTCATTCCTAACAAGCTTGTAATTGTGCATAAAAAAAATCAGTGTGCAGTCCAGACTTTCCAGTGCATGCCCATTTTCATATCCATTCTTTTCTTTGCACAGGGAGCGTGTGGACTTACAGAGGAACGAAAGAAACACAGTGATGTTTTCTCCAGTGGCTTCAAAGTTTTACCCAGCCCACCTCGTTCTTATGGTGTTCACACATGCACCCCATCTTCCAGCTCCTCAACATGACCACCAAAGACCTGACATTCTAGACAGGACATAGTTGACATTATCTTGTCAGTCAGTCCTGGATGGGAAAGCTCAGAATACTGACTAGAGAGAGATGCTAGAGAGAAAGATGACATGAGTATCCATTCTCCTCCCTCTCTCTCTCTCTTTCCCTCCCTCCCTCCCTCTCTCCTGTTTTAATGCCCCAGTATATCAACATAGTCTGGAAAAGATGGTTAGGTTGTGTGATCTTTACAGTACTCTTAAGTGTGTGCTTAGAACATCAGAGCTAGAAGAAACCTTAGTTACAAATGGCTTCATATTCAAAATAAGACAATGGCGGCCCAGAGAAGTTAAGACCTTGCCCAAGTTCAACACACATACATCCTACCTCAGAGCCAAACACAATTTCGGTTTCTAAGATAGTTATATTTCATTCTTTCTACCAAGGGATTCCACCTTTGATGGAGACTCTGGGAACTAACGCACCTGAAAATAAAATGAACTGACATGTTCCTTAAAATGATAAGAAATGCATCTCATAGACAGTGGGCACATCACAGATTCCCACAGTCTGCTGAGAGGCAGCACAGGTGGGAAAGCGCACAGGCTTTGGAGGTGGATCAGCAAGGCTGTCATCGTACAGGGCACTTA